GCTTCAGTGCAAGCCACGGCATAGTGGAACAGGATCTTGGCTCGTGTAAAAACCAACCAAGTACAACTGTGTGTGCAAAGGCTTCCTTCCTGCAGACATCGGCGCTGAATGTGTGGATATCTACAGAAAGCTGTCATCATTTGACTGACTTTGGTAGGAAGTCAGTGGTTTAGGACTATTTGTGGTAGAGACACTTGTGAAGATGCCCATACTTAGGGGGTGAGGGTTACTTCGTGACTTCGCTTCTTGACTCCATACTTTTTCTCTAATGTTCAAGAGGAAGAGCCAAAAGCTTTAAAACTAACCATATTATCTATGATGTCTGAATTTGGAGAAATGAGGTTTCTTCAGCTGTGACTGAATCTTAGATCACATTAAGCTAGAATGGATAGTTTCATACCTCATGGTAATTCAAAAGCAAACAAACCACATTACTGCTTAGATCTGGTGCAATTTCAGCCCGTTGTTTAGTGAGAACTTCTTAGAATCTAAAACAATAGTCTGATTGTTTTTTTTCTTTTTAACAATAGTTTAATAAACCACAGATCCATGAGTTTTGTAGCAAAGGTACTGTAATTAATTTAAAAGTGAAAGCATTGGCTGGACTTTGTCACATGTGGAAAAAAAATAGCTTCCCATTATTCATAAACAGGGCCATAAGTCAACAAGCAGGAAAGACAAATTTAATTTAAAAGTCTTTTAGAAGAAAACCTGCCAGCTTAATGATAATAGAGAAGACACTACATGGTGAGGTTAAGCAACCTGAACCAGCTGTTTACAGTTTTTAAAATCAAATTATAGCTAAACATAAACATCTATGAGAATTATCAATATTTTGCCATTTCTGTTAAAATCCATAAAGCTTGTGAATTTTTGTAGAGAGTTCTTCATTTTACACAGTTCACCCTTGCTCTACTTGTTATCTAATAGTTTCCAACTTTCCAGTGGAAAACAATTGCAAATTTTGATTGAAATCCTAAATTATTCAATAATGACAATATATAAACAAAACCTATTTATGGAGACCCACAGGATAGGATTTGCCTATCTGACTTTGCTTTCAGAATTTGGAGGATGAGTTAGGGTTTTTAGAATTAGGTTTTGTGATGTGGAATGAAAGGAGACTTGGTAAGTGCCAATATGTGATATCTGCTGTGCAAGGATAGTCTGAAACCTTGGAAATGCATTAAGGCCTCCCCTCCTACTGACCTACCCTGCCTAGGAAAAATTACCTCATTCATGACATTTATAAATTTCAAGACATACAACCCACAAGAGCTGAACTTTATCAGGTAGAGGGGCCCAGGTGTCATTTTTTTAAAGCCATACCTTAGAAATATTTATATACAACTTGCCCCACCTATGTCTCCTCAGTGTCTACTGGAGACTGAAAGTGGATTCTGTTAACTTGGAATGGTATTTCAGATAAGAAGGTCACAGATGGGTCAGAGAAAGACCTTTGTCATTGAGAGCTTCCTATGGCTTACCTTTGGGGTAAAGAGTTTCGGAAACCACTTAGAGCATTTTTCTACAGAACAAACAATAATGTATCATTATGCGCGCAAGGTAAAAAAGGAAATTTAAATTAAATTTATTTTGATACTTGCTATTTTATTTCAGTCATTTCTCAATATTTCCTAATTATTATCTAACAGGTTTTTTTTAGTCCTGTAGCACATGAAGGACAGTATTTCCATTGTATTTTCCACTAATGCCAAGAAAATTTCCCTAGAGTTGTCCTAAACAATTTGTACTCCACCAGTGTCTGTCTGAAATGAGGATCTTTCCCCTCGTCTTTTGTTTGCATATTTAGCAATCACTTTGAATCCTCCCTGTTATTCTGTTACCCCAGTCCCTGTAATTTTGCTAAATCCTTGGTTGTGCAGGGACTACAAACCCCAGAATTCCCAATCAGTACAAACATATCTGCTGCCCTCCAGATGTATAGGAGCTGCAGATCTAAGATTGCCCAGCTAATACTGTCAATGACCATGCTAGCTAGGAATCATGAGTTGTAAACATAATATACAGGGTTGCTTTGTGAGATGGATAGCTATATAATTAGAAATAGACAGACAGACAGACAAGAATCAGGAAAGAATCTGACTAAAGAAGGCTATGTTAGGTAATCTGTTGCAGTAATCTTATAAAACAATGAGATTTCTTCCAAGCTTATTTGAAAGAAATCTTTGGTAGCTACAGCCTCAGCTTGTATTACTTTATTTAACTGACATACTATCTTTTGGTCATCATCAGCCCCTCAAAAGGATCAGTCTTTTAATATTACTTTGGAATAAATGATATAGCTTGGACACCAACTTACATTTCTATTGAGTTCTGTTGCTCTTTTTGTCTATAAATATAAGTTAGATACATATTTTATTTGAGACACAAAACCAAAGCTAAGTTTGGCAGGGAATCATTCTGTAAAACATACATATATCATATATGTAGAACAATACTAGAACCTACCTATGATAAGTAATTTCTTGTCTTTATGAATAAAGAAATTAATGCTTCGTATTTTACTTCCTCCCTTCACGCCTAATGATCTGCTAAGATTAACTCAACCCTTTTATATAATCTGTTTTGGTTTCAGAAATACATTTTTCTTGATCAAGTCCTTTCCTTAACTACAAGGTCCATTCAGTAAGAAGTTAAATGTGACTGCTAATATCTACTTTCAATTCCAAGCGAAACAGACATTTAGACATACAATTAGTATTAATAATTCAAATGAGTAAATAGTACTATTTGTGAAAAGAAAGCACCACACAAGTAAATATCAGCTGAATCATAATCCTACTGTGCACGGCTGCATAAAAAAGGTAAAATAGCCCACTGGGTAAGTCCACTTGGCTAGCAATTTCTACACAAGATTGGTTTCAGATCATGTACTTTTAGGTTTCAGGCAGTGCAAAATTCCAAATATCAGTTTACTTGATCCATGTAGCCATTTCCAAATGCTTATCTGAAATCCAATAATAGTCTCTATTTATGCTACTTGTGTAAAACATGTGCCAGAAACACATGGTTTTCAGGAGCAACAATATTTTGAGCAATCAATGTAAGCAAAATCTAGGTGTTCCTATTGTTAGTAATGTTCAACTTATTTATATTGTGTTAAAAGTTAAATTGTGCTGAGAATTTTTAAATCCTAACCAATCCATATTGTAATAATTATTAACATATTTAACATACCTATTAGACTTGCTTTATTACATATGCCTACTATTGCTGGAAAAATGAACTTTCAAGGAACTGCAAATCTTGAACATGGAAGATATACTACAGAGATCAACAGTGTGATATTAATTATCTAACTTAGTTCAGCCAGACTGAAATTTGTCACATTTATTACAGAATGTTTTAGTATTAATGAAAAAAATATTTTTCAAATTGTAGATTCAAATATTGTGTCTTGTAGAAGAAACATTTGCCAACATTATTAAATGACTATAGATTCAAATATATTACTATATAGAATTAAATTAATGTTTTAAATGAAAAAGTGAATTGGATGAATTGTAATGATATCCATGCCACAGTAATTTTAAAATATCTAAATGTGACAACTAAATGTGGCAAATGTGGAAAAAGGCTAGTTCAATGTAACAAATATAGTATACATTAAAATTTAGAACTGGCTGCCTAATGTAAAAAAGCTAGTCGTGATTTTGATAATGAAAGAATAATTAAAGCAACAAACAAATGAAACAGCTGGTGATGAACTACATTTTATTTGACAGCTGCCTAAATTTTCCTCTCATCTGAGAGGTTTTTGAACATTCCCATGACAACCAAGCAGAGAGCAGCTTTATCTCTGTTGCCTCATGAAAGTTGCCTGGGCTAAACTCTTAAGAGTAAGTCAGAAGAATAAGCTCAGCTTTATGAGTTGTAACAATCCATTTCTTAATAGCGACACCTATTTCATATTTCAAAAATAAAAGAGAGGTAACACTATATTTACCCCTAAAACATAAAGCAAGTATTCTAGTCCACAGAAAATAAAGTTAAAAAGTAGAAATAGGTAGAAATCAATGTAACACTTATAGGCCAATTGACAAAGATTTCTTTTTTGTTTTGTTTTGTTTTCTTTACGCTTGTTAAGATGAGTTAGGAACACCCTCTTTGGGTCTTTTAAAACTAAAATGTAAAATGCTGGGACTGAAAAGTCTCTAAAAACATTTATATCCTGCTTTTCCTCCTAAGGTTTACACCAAGAAATACACCAATATCCTCTACAATTTAAAATAAATATTGGGTATAAGAATATTTTAAGATTCCACAGTGAAAGCTCATTTAAAAAGATTTCAGAAACCAAATTCCATCCTAAAAATGAAGGTCTTTACCAACTTCCTTGAGGGCATTAATGAGGAAGTGAGATGCACTTCTTGCTCCATCTCCTTTTTATCCAGCTCCTCCCTTTTATTTTTTTCAACAAGTTTTTTTTCACCTGGAACTGGGAAGAGGAAATCATCAACTACCATTTGCAAACATCAGTATCAACAATGTGGTCACTGATAGGATAGGTAAATAATCTTATTCATACACCATATAATATTTGGAGCATGGAAAGCAGACAAGACACTTTTTAAAAATGTTCATGTTGTTCAGTTACCACTGAACAAAACAAGTGATTTCTCCCCAAATAGATCTGCAATACTGCCAACAAAGAATTTGTATGAATTAAATGTTTGCTAGCATAAGATAGCCCATCAAAATTTGAAAAGAATATTGTTTTTATCTTCTTGTGTTCACATACACTTGCTCTCATTCACACACACACACATACACACACACACACACACACAGAGAGGGAGAAAGCACAAAATAATACCATAACAGAAGGGTGCTGTATCTGTGTTTAAAGAAGAGGTTGTTGGCAAACAGCACAGCTCACTTCTGCTGAAATGTACACAACTGATCTATGCAGCAGAGAAAGCTGGCACCCAAGGCTTACAACCTTAATTTGCCTGCTAGAAGGAATGGAGATTTACCTTCAGAGCACGTTCTTGATTGTTTTCAGCAGTCAGATGTCTAGGCTTGTTTGCAGAAGTCTGGTTCTGCTCTTTCATATGATGAAGCTCCTGCTCCAGCCGTTTGCACTGCAACGAGGAAAGAATCC